ACCGAGCTATAAATATTCCTTTCTGAAAAGGCAAAACTGGAAAAATGTCTAAATGTCTATTTTTGCCTCCTCTGCTTCACCCACTCGAAACATTGACATCATACCAAGCTCCTACTGAGGCAGAGTCACTCTGAGAGCTGGAGGGGCACAACTGCACCCAGAGCAAAGGCTGGGACAGAAAAAAAAAAAGCATCTTTGTGGCCTGGGAGGACAGAGCAGTGCTTGGGGAGGGGGGAATTCTTGCATGAAAATGGATGGTCCAATAAAAATGACTCAGCAAAGCTCAGGTCCAGACTGTCCCAGCTTTGCCCTGGACTCACAGAATCACAGGATATGCTGAGGTGGAAGGGACCCCCAAGGATCATCCAGTCCAACCCTCAGCCCTGCACAGGCCCATCCCCAAGAGTCACCCCCTGTGCCCCAGAGGATCATCCAAAGCCTCCTGCAGCTCTGGCAGCCTTGGGGCTGTGCCCACTGCCCTGGGGAGCCTGTTCAGATATGTGGATTTATTTCATTAAAGGTAGCTTGGATTGAGTTCTGGGGGGTTTTGTGAAGGGGGTTGCCCACATATCTCTGGGAGGATTAGACAGTTTGCAGCAGGCTGTGACCCCTGTGGCCCTCCCCACAGGCTTTGCGAAGAGCTGTGAAGGAGCAGAGAGCAGCAGGATCAGCAGCTCCATCACCTCGGTGTCTGCAGCACCTCCCCTGTACCTCAGGGGGTGGTGAGGACAAGCTGAACACCACTGTGGTATTGGGCACCAGCCAAACTACTACTAGCAGTAGGAACTAGTCATTGTAGCTGCTGGCAGCAGCTCAGTTCCTCCAGGGCTCAAACACGAGCCCGAGGTGAGGGGAAGGCACTGAGCACTTCCCTCCTGGAGCTGCTGCTGCTGGCACAGGTGGCCACATGGTGACAGATGAGTCAAGTGGAGATTGCAGATAAATCAAAACAAAAAACAAAAGTGTTGAAAAATGCTGTTTTGGAAGCACCTCGGTGTTACGTGGGCTACTCTTGGCTCTGGTCACAACCAACTCTAACGTTCCCCTGCTGTGCTCACGATGGTTGTGCAGCACTTGGAGATGAGGGTTCTCAGTGGCAAACCCTCCAAAACCCCACTCTGCTTCTGAAAGCAAAAAAAAAAAATTGTGGGTACCCCCCAGACCTCATCTAGGGACTGGGCCCCAGCACCCCCCAGGATCAGCCCCACATGCTGCTGAGGGTTTGTCACCTCATGCCCCGCCAGGGCCCTTCCAGCAGGGCAGGTTATCCTAAACACACATCAGCACATTGCTGACCTGCTCAGGGAGCACAGCACTGCTCTGGAGCACAGTAACTACCCCAGAACCCTCAGCAGCTCTGCATCCAGTCCATCCATCAGCCACATCCCAAAGTGATACTAAACCCCTCATCGGGGGTCCCCAAGCCACAATGGCCACATTGTCCCCAGCCTTCTCCTCCCATCCTCGGGTGCTGGCATATATATGACCACAGTCAGTCCTGCAGGAAATCAGCTCCTATTTTACTTAAACAGGGCAGTCAGCACCTGGCTTGTGTCTGTTTAATAACCTGAGCATCTGGTTTCCATACAGCAGGCAGGGAGCAGCCCCAGCATAATAACAGTCATTTAGAGCTGCAATTAGCTCTGGGCCCCCACTTGGACATTATGATGACTAAGTAGGTGCTGCTACATCTGTTGACAGACAGAGGGGGGGGCAATTCCACCCTACCCCCAAGAGACTCCCCTCATCTCCTCCTGTCCTCAGATCCCCAACGTTCCCTCGTGCCACATCCAGCGTTCCATGGATGCTCTGCCATAGTAGGGATTCTTGCACCACCCAGCAAATTTTTGCCTGCCCAGGCCTCCAGTGCCAGGCTACAGAGCAAGGGAAGTGCCCAGGGCACCTTCATGGGTTGCTTTAGGGGGTTCAGCCTTGCCTAGAGCACAGAGCTCACCCCCAGGACGAGATCTCTTGGTACTCACAGTGCCCCTGCACCCCTTCCATCACAGCCCTGGGCTCACCAACGCTGGACCTCGGGGCTCCAAAACAGCAGGGAATGCTTTCAGCTGGATTGAACAGAGCTCCAAGTATTTTATTAATGCTAATGGAAAGTACAAGCTGAAACAGAACTACCATGTTGTGATTTGCAGCCCTGGAAAAGTCCCTTTCATCCTCAGTGACAACAGAAAAAAAAATCAACATTTCCCATAGAAGTTACTAAAAGTTTAACTTAAGAATTGCCAAAGCCAGCATGTTTGGGTTTTGTTGGTGCTTTGTTGTTGTTTTTTTTTTTTCTCTTAGTCTTTCTTCATTGTGAGTTTTCCCCCGTTTTTTCCCCAAAGTGCTTTTCACAACACTTGGGTTTTGCCTGTTTCCATTTTACTCTAATTTGTGGTGGAGAAGCAACACTCCAACCTTCACTGAAGACATAACGCATTTTCAACTATTTTTTTAATGACAAAATCATTCAGTTCCTTCAAACTTTTATACCCCTGGCCACGTTGCTGCAGGAATCTGTCCTGCCAGGAACCTGTAATGCCAAAATGTTCTCAAGACAGCTCCAACACACCTGAACTCCAGTGCACAGGCATGATCCAACCACACGTCCCCGCCCCTGCTGCAGGGAAACCGAGACAGAAAACCACCTCGTGTGAGGAAAAGGAGAGCAAAGAAGAGCCCACAACACCTCCACCAGTCCTAGACCTGGCCATGGGACAGAATTCCCCACTTGGAAAGGCGCTGTTGTGTCCTGGGACACCTTCCCTGAGCGAAGTCTGACGTGCTCCAGAGCACGAGGAAACACTCACACGTGCAAAAGGAAAACTAGAATGTTTTCTCAGTCACCTCAGCTACCATTTCTGGCTCTCTAGGGATGATTTCCAGCATTTTCCTCTACCATTTCCCACCACAGAAGCGCCTGTAAATAACCTGAGGCAGGAGAAGGCCGTTCCCCGAGGAGGAGGTGCAACAGTGAGAATGGTTTAACACAGAGCTATAAACAAGAACCTGGCAAAGCCTCCCTGCACCAGGAGGAGGAGGGGGATGTTCTCCTTCTCCCCAGCCCTGAGCCCTGCGAGTGCAAACAACTCACACGTGCTCCAGCATCCTCTGCACGGGCAGGGATGGCTGACAGCAAACCTGAAGGGTCTCTGTCCCAGCTATTTCCACCACCGTCCTGTCAGCAAGGGGGAAGAACAGGGCATCTCTGCCTCCCTTTTCCAGGATCCCTCCCAGGAAACAGGGTCAGACTCTGAGGTTTATTTGTTTATTCCCATTTCCGTGGCTCGTGACCAAAGCTGAGGGTTGGGCAGGAGGGACAAGCCCCTGAACACAGGTCTTGTGACGTGCTGCGGGCACGGGCTCAAAACAGGGCAGGGAACAAGCTTATTTTTACTTCCACTGAAAGAGGTAATTTCTCTTCCTATTTTTTTTTTTTTTTTGGTCATATTTTCTAATTCTTCGCATTTTTTCCCTGCAGAAACCCAAGACTGTTTCCCAAAGCACTGAACTGATGAGTGGCACCACAGCAGCCAAAAATCCCCTGATCTGAGAGTGCAGCTTTGGGAACACCAGCAGCAAATATTGCTGATTATCAGATAGGTTGTTTATAATTTCAGTGGAGTTTTCCAGGGCATCTTCCTCAAGCAAATTTAATTTTGATAGGAAGAAAAAACCCCATCAATTCTTTTTTCATCATCACAAGGGAAGTAAAAGGTGGCCATAGAGGTGGTACCAGAAAACTGGGTTCTACCTCTAACAGCCAAAAAAAAAAAAATGAGGAGGTGATGCCTTTGCAAATGGTTTTTAAAAGCCTGGCAATATTTCTCAGCACTGAGGGCTGAGCTGACACACACCAGCAGCTGAAGACCTTAAGGATGGGCTCTGCAGTGTCACACTGGGGGAAGGACTTGCAAAAATTCATGTCCCCCAGGCTGTTTTAACCTCAGCTCATCTGTAAAAGTGATAAAGGAGCAGCAGCTCATCTGCCAGCTGATTAATCAGCTTTGCTGCTGCATCACTCAGCTTTTAATTGACTTCTGTCCCATTCATGGATACCATAGAATGGCCTGAACTGGAAAGGATCTTAAAGCTCATCTCATTCCACCCCCTGCCCTGGGCAGGGACACCTTCCACCAGCCCAGGTTGCTCCAAGCCCTGCCCAACCCTTGGACACTTCCAGGGATGGGGCAGCCACAGCTTCTCTGGGCAACCTGTGCCAGGGCTGCCCACCCTCACAGGGAAGGATTTCTTCCCAATATCCCATCTAACCCTGCCCTGGTTTGAAACCATTCCCCCTTGCCCTGTCACTCCAGGCCCTTGTAAATAGTCCCTTTCCATCTTTCTTGAAGCCCCTTCAGGTCCTGTTAGGCTATAATCAGGTCACTCCAAAACCTCTCTTCTCCAGGCTGAACAATCCCAGTTCTCTCAGCCTTTCCTCACAAGGAAAGTGGTAAATGCAGCTTGGTCAGACCTCATATCCTAAGGACAGACAGGCCAGGGAAAAATGGACACAAGCACAAGGAAATGCCCACTGTAAACTCCTCTCCCTTCCAGTCCACGCTCCATCAGCAGGACACAACAGCTCCCAGGAGCAGGGACACCAATTCCCAGTGCATTTCTCCAGTCACCCAACACCCCCAGCGGGTGCTGATGCACAGAGAGTCCCCAGAGGCTGTTCCCCTCAGCCAACCCCCCCATGGGTGCTGGCACTCTGTGCTGATGCCAGCAGGGTCACAGCAGCAGAGAAGGAGCCCTGTGTGTGTGGCTGTGTGGGCGTTCAGGCATCTCATCTCCATGCCCGGCCCTCGGGGGCAGTTCTGAGCAGCAGAGCAGCAAAAACAGCTCCTGCCACGTGAGGCAAGAGCAGCAGCAGAGGTTCTGGCCTCCTCCAGACCTGAGAGCAGAGAGCACAGGATGCATCACCACCACCCCCTGTGCTCATCTGCTTCCATTCACGCGGGGCTTTGAGGAAAAGACTCACAAAGTGAAATGCTGTTTGCATGGGTTAGTTTAATGGACTCTGGGAAACACAAAAGAGCATCTTCTTTCTTTTCTTTGCTTCCAGTTGCAGGCAGATCATTCCTTCCTGCTGGCACACAGCAGGGAGCTCCAGGGCAGCACACGGGAGGGAGGTCTCCTTGCAAAAATAACCCTGCTGTAAACGCTCTGTGATGTCAAAGGGCTCTGAGCCGGGGGCGTCCCCACGGAGCCCTTCCCGCTCCCAGGGCTGCTGCCTCCGCTCAGCTCCTGGGGATCCTCCTCAGGACCACCTCCTGGAGGCTCCTTGTTTGGCTCTGTCTGTGCAGGGGGCCTGGATGGAGCTTTTCTCTGCTGGTCCTGCTCAAGGAGCCTCCTGACCAGGGGCCCTGTGTGGGTGACGTAGGCGGGTCCGGGGCGCTGGATCTGGATGAGGTGTCCCGGCAGACCCACGTTGGCTGAGGGCAGCACAACCTCTGGAACCCGAGAAACAGAGACCATGAGATCCCAGCCTGGGCTTCTCCCCTCTCTGGGAAGGGTTAGGAAGGAGGGTGACACCAAGGATGCTCCTTGGAGCCAAAGGCCATGCCGGTATCAGCGATGGCCATGGAGGGCCAGGCAGCACCGAGGGACAGCAGTGTCTACCCAGAGCTACCTTGCATCAAGATCTAAATCAGCCATGCAAGAAACAGAGATAATGTCTGTAATTTCTAACCTTTCAGCCTTCATTTCTATATTTGAGCACAGAGTGTGATTGCACTGACCAAGGAGGAGCTGCAGGAGGTCAGTGTTACACCAAGAAACAGTGGGAGAGAAAAGGGGGTGGGGTGGAGATCAGCAGTTCTTATTCCTGCACCACTGACCAATGGCCAAGGCAAGCCTGCACTGAAGACCTTCCCAGTCTCCTCTTTCTGTCCTAAACCCCTTCATCACTCAAGTCCTGCGCCTCACACACAAAGCCACAAGACTGGCAGAAATGGCTGGAGCAGTCAGGCTGAGCCTGCTTGGGAAGATGTCTGTCCAAGGGAGACTTCAAAGCAGAAAATCCAGGAAAAAAGTCATGAAGGAAAGGAAGATGCATTCAGGCAGATCTTGGAAAATGAGATCATGAGTGTCAGTATTTTTAGATACAGACTTTTCACCTGACACAAGGCTTGCCCTTACCTCTCATTGTGCACTATTTTGTTTTTGTTTTTTTTTAATTGGGGATAATTCTGCCCTTCTGTCCTGCAGAGGGCCAGTCCTTTATGACCCAGCTGAGCATCCCAGGGAAACACCCAGAACAACAGCACACTGGGGTTTGTCAGGGCTCTGACATTCAGCTGCAATACCCAGGGTCCCCTCAAAAGTGCCAAAAAGCTTTGTGTGCTCAGAGGGGGGATGGCACGGACAGAGCTGGGAGTGAAGTTTCTCCCAAGGTCCCACCACGAATTAAAACCAAAAGGCTCAGAGTTCCAAGTTTTAGAGAAATGAGAGCATTTAAAGACATTAGTAAAAGATAATCTGAAGCCTTTAAAGTTGTAGGGACAGAAAGAAGGAGGGAAATTGTATGTTCAGCAGTTTCTGCACCGAGCCACATCCCTCGGGAAGAAATTCTTTACAGAGAGAGGGATCAGACATTGGAATGGGCTGCCCAGGGAGGGGGTGGATTTACTGTCCCTGGAGGTTTTTAATTGGATGTGGCATCATTGACATGGTCCGGGAACCACGGGGGGGTTGGATCAAGGGTTGGACTTGAATCTCAGAGGTCTTTTCCAATCCAGTTGATTCTATGATTCCATGATTCAGGCTTCCAAGCACCACACTGCTCCTGCACCTCTGGCCGTGCCAGGGCCGGTTCCAGATGCTCTCTGGGCGTGCAAAACGCCAGGAATGAGCTTTTCCATGAGCCCTGCTCCCGCCTGTGCTGCCGGAACGCGGCTCTCCCATCCCTGTTCGCCCTGCCCGGCCGGCATCTGCTCCCATCGCATCCCGGGGACTGCGGTTTGCTCGTCTTCCCCGAGCGAACCGCGCTCTGGAGAAAGAGCGATCCATCCTCCCCCCCCCGAGGGGAGACGTCAGCGCATCCAGTCGGGACAGCCCTGGAAGCACCAGCCGGCAGCGGCGTTACCGGGACGAGCAGGGGCAGCCCGGGCTCTTCCCCGAGCTACGAATAGAAACAGCCTGACGTGTTTGCAGGAAGGAAAAAAAAAAAAAGTTTCCATACCAAAAAAGTTTTCAGCGCAGTGAAACTCCTGTACCTACGCCGTGCACACACGCTCAGCCTGAACAGAGGGAGAAGCCCGACCAAAAATAGTCTTGGTTTAAATGATGAGATTTCAGGCAGTGGCACACTCTGTGCTTAAACAAAATTTATTTTGACAGGCTGAGATAGTCCATGTGTCCTGGAATGCCTGTTCTGACTCACTATTTGGAGTTTTTAACCCTTGTTACGGCACTGTTTTACTGTTGAGTTCATCAGGCTGATGTGCAGTAAAACCACTACAGGAGGGTTAAAAAAAGTCTTGTTAAAGCACAGTTTGACCGTTTTCAAAGTGTTTCTGATGACTAGGGAGTTCTGGCTCAGCCCATCCTCCAGAGAGCTGGGATGGGCAGCAGGCCACCCCCACCCAGCACAAGGAATTGGGGTAGCAGGAGCTGCTCCAAACTGGGACCCATCAGCTTGATGATGACTGTCCACGTGTGTGAGGTAAAGCTCTGCAACCTGGTGATAAACCAGTGGGATCAGACACAAAACAACGCTTAGTGAGGCACAAAAAGAGCTGATTCGGAGCCTTTTCCCCACTTTTATAGGCTGTAGTTCACGTCTTTGTAAAACAAATAAACACATGGATGAGCTGGGGGGGATAATTCAGCAAAGCCCATGGAAAGAGCTCCATACACCCTAGAGATGCAGCAAACCCTGCCCACCTGCTCCCAGCGGGGACCCAGAGCCAGTGGGATGGGTGCCAGGGGCGTCAGGGAGTCTGACGGTGAGGGCCAGGGCCAAAACAGCACCCCCAGCTCCTCACCCTGCAAGCACAAGCCTAACATGGGGGAGAAGCTCCTGTTCACCACCATCAAGCAAAGCTCTCCACACGTTTTGCAGAGCAAACGAAGATCCAGCTCAGTCCCTCAGCCCAAACCACTGACTGCATGCTGGAAAGGCAAGGAATGAGCACAACGAGGTGGTGGAGCAGGGAAGGACAAGGGTTGTGGTGCTGGGCTGTGGCTCCAGCTCCTCTCACTGCATGCCTGGTGTTGGCCTTGGAACCTGCCCTGCACCCAGTCAGATGTTCCCAGCTCAGAGGGCTCCTGATGTGAAGGCGCTGGCTGAGCTCACGTGTCCAGGACAGAAGACACGCCTCAGGCATGTCTCCTGTGTCCGTTTAATCCTGGATAAATCCTGCTACTCCAGGGATGTTCATATGGGTGAGGTTTCCAAAGAGCCCTGGGCTCAGTGGTGTTGCTCCAGCGTCATCTCACAGGGCAAAAAAACCAAAGAGGTTCAGACTTTCCTAAAGGGTAAGAAGAAAATAAAAAGCAGTGTGATGGACAGCACCTCCAGTTTGGATATTTGGTGATGTGGGAACATTGGTGCCAGGATAAAATCTGGGTACCCACCAGGTGAATTTACCTGTGCAGTTGTGGGCGTTTGGGCGCAAAGAACCTCAGACAAGGCCACAAGGCCTGCCAAGTTGCCAGTGTTGAAGTGGAAGTGGTGAGATGGAGGCTGGTGCAAATCCCAGCTATTTGTCCTCTGACCTTATCTCTAACCCTTCCCAAACCAGCAGTAACCAAAGAAGCTCCAGGGAGAGGACACACAAACATCCCCCTGACCACAGAGCCTGGATTACTCAGCTGTCCTTGGATTACACCCCTGATGTGATGCAGGCCACCCCAGAGGTGGCTCCTTCACACCAAGAGCATGAGGGGAGACAGCCAGATGCCACAGCAGCAGCGGGAGCTGAAGATGGGAATGCAAAGATGCCAAGGGAAAGCCCAGAGCCGACAACATCTCGGAGCAGAACAAGATGGGATCATCAGCCACCATTTGTTATTTACAGCTCGGGCTTGGCTACTGGCCTGGAAGAGAGATGGCTCCACATCATCCCTGGGAATCCTCTCAGCATAACGATGGTTATAACTATGCCCTGCATCAGCAGCACCTGCCAGTGAGTCCTGTCTCCAGGACTGTCCTGGGAAAGGCTTTCCAGAGCAGAATTGGGTTGGTTTCCCTCCTAGTGGAGGCACAGGATTGTTGCCTGCCATTACCTCCCCCTGCCTGGGGTTTGTCTGAAGCTGTCCACACTGAGGGATCAGCTCATGGCCCGCTCCAATGGGAAGTGCTCCAGGTTGGACATGGCTTGGAGCAACCTGGGATAGTGGAAGGTGTCCCTGTCCTTGGAAGGAGATGATCTTAAAGGTCACTTCCAACCAAAATCATTCTGGGAATCTACTGGGATTCAGCCCAAAAATCAAATCAAAAGGCCTCCTTTGTCCACCATAAGATGCCACCCCCCCCCCCAGCTGTGCAGGATCAGCAGCAGCCAGACCAGAGCCACGGACCCACCTGAGCCCCTTCCCACTGGTTTGGCAGCACAAACCTGTCCAGCCAGGCTATGAATCAGCCTCAGGTTGTTTGGACACCAGAGGAGCCCACTTTGGAGAGCAGAGTCGAAAAGACCCAAACAGTGATCCCTTTTGTGACACTCAAAATGGGCAATAGCGGAACTTTATAGTTAATTATAGAATTACAACTCCTGTGAGAATGGGGACTCACGTGGGCAACTTTAAACCCAAATCAAAGGCCTCTGAGCTTCAAGACACTGACAGCCAAAGGTCCAGATTTCTCTAACTACATTCAAAAAGCACCACCAAAGCCAGGCACTTCCAAAGGGAACAGAGCTACACACAGAATTAGTGTCACACAAAGAACACAGCACATGCTAAGTCCTGTTCAGGCTGTCCCCGGATTTCAGATGTGATTATCAATTCACTTCCAATCAGCAGGCTGTGTTATATACCTGCCATTGCATTAGGCCTCATTTTATTCCTTTCCTTTACCTCTCCATGGCGAGAAGGAAACTGGAGGCAAAGCCCTGTTCCTAAAAGCCTTGGTCCATAAACATCTCCCTCCTGATCTACAGCTCTCCACTGACAGCACACCAGGGAGGCAGTAGCAGGGCAATAGCAAGGTAACAACCACTGCTTAGTTTGTTTTTATTTTTCTCCAGCTACAGGTTGAGATATTCCCCGTAATAAAAGGCAAAATTCTCCCCAGAGAAAGAAAGGGAGGGTTGCTTTTTATGAGAGACATAAAGCACCCAGCGCTTTGCTTCATGCTACAACTCTTGTGAGTTTGAATTCTCAGAGAGCTGCTGGCACTGGGACAGTTTTCACACTCTTATATTTAGAGAGACTCGCCTGAAAAACAGCCAAAGCTGTCGCTTATAAATCAGGTTGTTCTGACAGTGCCCAGAGCAAGCAGTAAAAG